TACATGTAGCAAAGTGTATATTTTTGGGTTAGTTTTGACTTACGTTTGTTTACCCAATTAAATAAAATCAAAATGACGCGAGTTTCAATTGATATAAAAAAACTTATATTTAAATTAACTTTGACAAAATATGAAATAAGAAAATTATCGAGATGAGTTGTGTAGGTGTGAACTGCATCGCTGCCGACAGGAAAAAGGTCGAGAAAGTTCTCGTTTTTATGCAAATGCAAAAATGCATGTGCTTGCGCAATACCGGTTATCTGTCTTGGGTAATCTGTATTTGGTAGCTGAAGGTTGCCACATCACTCCCCTCGGTGGAAAAGGCTACCGGAATCTTACAGGGAGCTTTATTCGCCTTCCACTTGATGTAGCTTTGGTCGCAGGCTGAACGGTCGGTGTGGTTGATGACTCAGATGCATGTGTGGTATCGGCAGGACAATCTTGAAACGGCGAATCTGCACTGCCAGCATGGCTGGTGATGTCTTCTGGTATATTTGGAATGCTAGGCACGAGATCATTTGGTGATGGATGAATTGTTGTCTGCTCATGTGAGCTTGCAGATTCTGTTGCAGGAAGAAAACATGGCTTTAAACGATCGATGCTAATATTGGTTTTTCGACCCCGGACAAGTATTGTGAAATATTTGGGAAATCGTTTTAAAACAATATACGGGCCATCGTAAGGATGAGTCAGAGAAGGATGAATTGAGTCATTGCGAACAAAAACGTGCGTAGTTGACCGGAGATCTTTTGAAACAAATGTTGTCTTTGTAGAGTGGTGTGATGTCTGAGTGGGTTGAATGCTTTTCATCGAATTTTGAAATTCCACTACAAAGTCGCTAGATTTTCTTGAAGAGTTGTTTTTGAGGAAGAATTCTCCTGGGACACTTAAGGTAGTACCGTACACTAGCTCTGCCGGTGATGCTTTGATGTCAGCTTTATACACAACACGGAGGCCAAGTAAGATTGTTGGAAGGTGATACATCCACTTTGATGAATCATGACATAGAATGGCAGATTTAAATGTCCTGTGCCATCTTTCTATTAAGCCGTTTGCCTGAGGGTGATATGGTGTAGTTCGTAAATGAGTAGTTCCAACCGTTTGCAGTAGTTCAGCGAAAACCGCGGACTCGAATTGTCGGCCTCTGTCGGTAGTTATTCGATGTGGAACTCCAAATCGTGAAATCCAATGGGTTACCAGTCCTTTTGCTACGGATTCGGCAGACATGTCGGGTAATGGAACGGCTTCAGGCCAACGCGTGAATCTGTCGATTATGGTGAGACAATATCGCTGCCCTTCACATAGTGGAAAGGGGCCAACGATGTCAACATTTATGTGTGATAAACGCTCAGTAGGTGGCTCGTACATGTCTGGTGTTGATCTCGTGTGACGCTGCGTTTTTGATCGCTGGCATGGAATACATGTTTTGACAAAGCCCGCAATTTCTTTTTTCATCCCTGTCCAAACAAACCTCGAAGTAACTAATAAGGTTGTAGCACGAATTCCAGGATGAGCTAAGTTGTGTAATGAATTAAGTATCTGTTTCCGAAAACTTTTTGGGACGTATGGTCGAACTCGAGTTGTTGAGGTATCGCACGCAATTTGTTCATCACATCCTAAAATATCCAAATACTTTAATGTCAATGAGTTATGGGACGTACCTTGATTTTTTATTAAATCATGCAGTTCATTGTCCTCTCTTTGCGCTGCTGCTAACTCCTTCAAATTGACGATTGCTTGATTTTGGTTGTTATGTATGGTATTTATGCGAGACAGGGCATCAGCAGTCGAATTATCCCGTCCAGGCGTATGTCTAAAATCAGTTGTAAACTGGCTAATAAAATCGAGCTGGCGCAACCTACGGGGAGATGCTTTTTCCATCTTCTGCTTGTAGGCGAATATTAGTGGGCGATGATCGGTAACTACGTAGCAAGGGCGTCCCTCAATTGCGTAGCGAAAGTGACAAACAGCCTGGTAGATAGCAGCTAACTCTCGGTCGTATGTTGAATATTTCTGCTGCGTCTCCGTTAGCTTTTTGGAATAAAACGCTAATGGTTGCATGTTGCCACTAACCTTTTGGTGCAATGCTGCTCCAACGGCTGTGTCTGATGCGTCAACGTAGACTGCTAATTCTGCGCCGGGTACGGGATGAGCAAGTAGCGTTGCGTTACATAATTCGGTTTTGCAGTGCTCAAACGCTTTTTCGGTGGCAGGAGACCATACCAGTGGTGTTGTGTCATTTTTTTTGTTACCCGATATCATGCCTTGTAAAACTCCTTGATAAGCGATGGTATGCGGCAAAAACTTTCTGTAAAAGTTGATCATTCCCATGAACCTTTTAAGCTCTTGCGCTGTCATCGGCTTTGGGTACTCTTTTATTACAACGACTTTTTCGGGGGATGGTCGAATTCCATCTGGAGTAACAAGGTGGCCAAGAAATGTAATCTCTGACTTTCCGAATTCACATTTTTTTAGATTAATGGCGAGTCGATTTTCCCGAAGACACTGAAATACCAAGCGAAGATCGTGACGATGCTGCTCTAAGGTGGCAGAGAAAACAAATATGTCGTCGACGTACGGGAACACACAATCGATGCCTCTAAACACTTCATTGATTAGCCGCTGGAAGGTCTGTGCGGCGTTTCGCAGGCCGAATGTCATGCAGTTGAACTCGTACAATCCAAATGGAGTACTAATGGCTGTTTTCGGAACATCATCCGGATGAATAGGAATTTGATGATATGCTTTTTGCAAATCGATTTTTGAAAAAAACTTGTTGCCTTTTAAACTATTTTGGAAGTCAGTCAAATACGGTAGAGGATACCTGTCGGGCAAAGTTTGAGCATTCAGAGCGCGGTAGTCTCCACACGGTCTCCACGACCCATCTTTTTTTTTAACCATATGTAATGGGCTGCTCCAATTACTTTTAGACGGTTGACAAATTCCTGCCTCGGTGAGAAAATTGAACTCTTTTTTTGCTGCTTCAAGTATTTCAACGGACAATCTGCGAGGACGACAAAAAGTGGGCTGGCCAGTCGTTTCAATTCGATGAAAAATGGTGGATTTTGTTTTGGTACCGTAAGTCGAGAGTTTCGTGATATCGCTGAATTCGTGCAAGAGATCTGCAAACGGGTTGTTTGTGCAAAACAGTTTAACACAGGCGATTTTTGAGGTCGATGGTAGCTGTAGCTGGGAGTTGTGACCGGTGATGTTGTCTATGAGACGATTACGGCGCAAATCGATCAACAAATCGTGATATTTGATGAAGTCTGATCCTATTATTGGCGTCGTCACATCGGCAATGACAAATGACCAATAGAACTTTCGCTTTAAACCAAGGTCTAACTTTAAGCGCGTTTCACCAATAACTTTAATCGGGGAGCCGTTGGCAGCATACAATGTGACAGCCGTTGGGGACATGTTAGAAGATTTAGAAGAAAGAGGAAGCACAGATACGTCAGCACCACTGTCAACTAAAAAAATTTTTTGGGACCATCTGTCGGTAACTTGTAGGCGAAAAATTTGGCATTTAGTGGGGGATTTTTCGCTGGAATCCACCACTGGCCTAAAAAGTCAATCTGAAGGGTGCGCTGTGACAGCGTGCTCTTGCCGCTGCTTATGCTTGCACGGGCTGCGGCATCTCCTTGCATTACGTCCGTATTTTTTATGATACCAGCACTCGTCTAAATTTGAGGTTTCGCCGTCGGGTGAAGCTTGTCGATGCTGGGAACGGTGACGAGCAGTGTTATGTGTTCGAGATCGTGAACGTGACCGCATGGTAAATTGCTGGAACTTTCTACTTAAATCCATTATAGCTGTGCGTAGCTCGCTTATGTCACTGGCGTGGTCTTTGGACACTTTACATACCTGTGATGGTGACACGGCATCTACAATTGAGTCAGCTATTTTGGTAAATTCCGTTGCTGCACCATTTGACGCTGCTACCACAGGTTGCGCAAAAGTTGGCAATCTTTTGATCCAAAGACCTTTGAGTGCTGTTTCTCCTATCGAGTTGCCGGCTACTCTTTTCATTTCGAAAAAAAGCTCGGAAGGTTTTTTGTCACCTAATGGCATTTCAGACAGGAGTCGGTTGAGTCGTCTCTGTTCGCTGTCGGCAAGATGGTCAATAATTTTCCGCTTGATGTATTCGAATCGGTCGGATGCTGGCATAGATGTGATAACCTCGACCAACTGCGCTATAATTTCAGGTTTTAGTGCGGCAAGCACGGTGGCGGCCTTTTGTTTGTCAGAGGTTATGCCTGAAGCACTGAACCAAAATTCCATTGAAACGAACCAGGCTTCGACATTCGTGTAACACATTTCTGGGAATGGCAAACGGGCATAAATGGCGGATACATTACTGGCGTTGCTTCTTGGCATTTGGCCTTGATCATCGTCATCGGTCTGCATAGCCACGGTGGATGCCGTTGACAAATTGTTGGTTGTCATTTCTTTTTTGTGTTGTCTCGGGGTCACCAATTTGGGTTAGTTTTGACTTACGTTTGTTTACCCAATTAAATAAAATCAAAATGACGCGAGTTTCAATTGATATAAAAAAACTTATATTTAAATTAACTTTGACAAAATATGAAATAAGAAAATTATCGAGATGAGTTGTGTAGGTGTGAACTGCATCGCTGCCGACAGGAAAAAGGTCGAGAAAGTTCTCGTTTTTATGCAAATGCAAAAATGCATGTGCTTGCGCAATACCGGTTATCTGTCTTGGGTAATCTGTATTTGGTAGCTGAAGGTTGCCACATATTTATATTTTTTATTTACTGCGTTATCATTCAAATCATTTGTTTCCTCTTCCAGAAACCAAAACATATAAATTCAACAATTCAAGACTTCAAATAAATATAACAACAACAGAAATCATATCAAAGCGCCATTAAGGCGACGCACCGGGATTCCAATATGTCTGAACCACATCTTTTTGCGGTGTGAGTTAACGAGTTAGCCATCGAATAAATTGATTTTTTTACGTGCAGTAGTAAAAACTGGAAGCCACAATGGTGGAATCTTCTAATTTGGGTAGAACGCTGAACAATCCGCCGGTTCAGCCGCTACCTACACAATCACCATCCGGTATGCGCTGTGGTACCCTGGAGACACGAGTGCGGGGCGCCTGGTATCGAGTACTGGTTACATTGGAAACGGATTATTTGGCCATAAGTTTGGATGAGACGTGTGAGAATGCTGGTAATGGTGGTGACCAATCAACAACATTAAACGGTACATTGGGGTAGGACAACAAATCTAATTTCAAACATTTGGTGAGAGTAGATTTTCCTAAATTTTTATTTTTATTTTTTAGAAGCAATCACAGTGGCCATAATGGTACAATACCATCATCCGCATCTATGCAGGGCATGGGTGGTGGCGGCGGTGGCGTCGTGGGCAGCGGTGGTGGTACTTCAACAATAAATTCTACAACTTCAACAACTAGCAATGAATTGGATACAACAGACAATGGTGATCACATGCTGAACAATAATACGTTAGACAATGGCATGGATATGTGCGATGTACCTGATCATGTGGCCAATCAAAAGAGACACGTAAGTGATGATGAAATTGTTTAGGATTATCCTCATTTCGAGTCGTTTTTTATGTTGGAGAGTATTATGTTTGTAAAGCCTAGAAATACTGGTATATCAATAGATAAATCTATACGATAGGCCCAGTTATAGACCTTCAAGAATTTCATTGGAAATCCATTGCTTCAATTACAAATAGAATAATTTGAATATCGAACGGATTAAATTAATTTTCTAATGGAATATATAAATATCAATAAGACTTTGGGAGAAGAAAATTCGGTAGAGGTATGAAAGCTCTTGGCGAGTATATACACAGAAGGACAAATAAGCTATAGGTCACGTTTCTGATTTATAGCCTTTTTGCGGGTATTCCAAAGTTCATGAAGTAAAACCTTCATATCTTTGTTTGCAGCTATTGCATGCTATTTTGAGCCACATTTCAAATCGACAAGGAATATGTTTGTAAAACATATCCACCATCTATCTCGAATCCTTACAGTAATTATTATCTTGCAAAAAATGCATCACGCCATAATTCATGGTCAATTTGACATTGTTGGTTCTTAATGTACTTGTCGAGTGCTTTTATACATCTAAGGATTTATCCACTACGAGACCATGACATCGATTATGTTTCACAGTGATTAAGTCAGGATCGGAATTTTTTCCAAAGAAATATTTTACACAGTAAAATAATGATTTAGTTTCTGCAAATGATTTTCCTGTACGTCATCTACGCTCTTGAGTCGTTTCCCTCAGACTAGATTTTTTCAAATGACTTTATTTGAGTTTATTTTTTTGTTTAAAAATATAGTGTAATGTTTTTATTTAAATTATACTTTCAGGTTCGAATAATAAAGTCTGAAAACAATGGTCTGGGTATATCAATTAAGGGTGGGCGAGAAAATCGCATGCCCATTCTTATATCAAAGATATTTCGGGGCATGGCCGCCGATCAAGCCAAAGGCCTGTATGTGGGCGATGCAATACTTTCCGTGAACGGAGAAGAATTACGGGAGGCAACACACGATGAAGCCGTGAGAGCTTTGAAAAGAGCCGGCCGTGTTGTGGATTTGGAGGGTAAGTGAATACATTACATTTTACATATTGAAAAAAAAAATCCACTTGGAAAATTTCGACGTAAACTGAAAAAATTCCCAATCTATAAAATATTGTCGAAATTTTCAAGCAATTTGTCATTAGTCACAATGAGGAAGTGTTACACACAAAAAATAATAAAAAACTTAACATAGACATTAACACGAATAATACAAGTCAATTAAAAAACACTTGTCAATCGCCGCAATGGCGTATGGAATTTTAAGTAGTGTCGAAGTAGTTCATAAGTTCCGAAACCCATTTTAAATACAAAGGAGAAGATTACATTTAATTTGTTACCGGTTTAACCAAATTGGATGATGGATGTTTAAGATGTGTGAGCGGATTTATTTTTGTGCTTGAGTAGGGAAACATGGGAAACAATTGTGTGTGTGAGTGTGTTTTTGGCAAGATAAATTGATCGCTCTTTTATAACTACATATATACGAGTGTAGTGATTATATTGCTAAAAAAATATGTGAAATCATTTTCTCCCTCCACTTTTGCTATTAACTCCATTAATTCAAACAAGTTTTTGACATATTCCCCGGGCAACATTATTCAAAATCATTTTCCCACACAGATTGTGCATGTCGGGTTGTGTGTAAAGCTTATTTTATTACAATATGTCATAATGTGCATACAGATTTGTGTATGTTCTTATGTGAAGTGAGAGAGTGTGTGTGCGCGCTCCTCGCTTAAATAAAATAGTGTAATAGTAAATGCCAACATTCAGTTCGCACACACACACATAGTTACACTCACACTGCCTGCTCTGGGTGATGTATGAATACAAGACAGGGTCACATATGGCACATTATTTGCTACAACTGCATAAAATTACAAAAAATATGACATAATTTATCATCACAGGCCTCAAAAACTACAAATGAGAGGAAGAAAAAAATAAAAAAAATGCCGGGATATATATGTAAGTAGTTGTACTGGCGGCTATCGCACACAGTGGTTCCAAACACATATGGTTTCAGAAGTTGTATAGGTCAAATAGATAAAACGAATTATCCAAAACTCATATAGAGCTTCAAGTTCTAGATCAAATCCCCCGGTTCCTTCTTACATCAATGGAGGGTCATATGCTCCTCATGGACCCCATTGGTAGTCCTTAATTTTTGCCAATTCTTTTATGTGTGAAACCACTTTGTAGCCCGTGCGTGAGTTTGTATGACTGCGTGATTGTTTGGTGTGCATAATAACCCTAGAGTTGATAATGCAATTTTAACCTTTTTTTTGCTCTGAGAGTAAATGAATTAACATAATAAAAAAATAACAATCAACAGTGACATGCTTACACATACACTGACAGCTCCATGGACAGCCAACAGTAAAAAATGCCATGAATCTGCCTCGCCAAATGGACATTCGAAAATACAAACAACACCAATACACTTAAACAGACATAAGGACAAATAATCATTTAAAAAAGCACACGAACAGAACACCGAGAGCAACAGCACTCACACGAATACACACACACAAATCTCCATCCATAGAGAACACCATCGAGCAAGGAGAGCAATGTACTGCTGCTGCTACTGCTGCTTGGGTAAGGGTGTTGAGTCAGTTCGAGACGAGTTCGAAATAAAACGATACAATAAATTTAAGTACGTGAGTGGCATAGACGGCGATGACTGCAGCGGCATAAAAATGAAAACGAATTCAATTCATACCAAAAAAACAAAACCAAGAACAACAACTACAGGCTAAATGTATAACAACCGCCGATGACAAACATATGTATGTATAAATGCACGTACCTACCTACATATGTAGGTATATTCTATGTTGTCACTCGCGTACTACATGATGATCATGCTGATGATGACGATGATTTTGTTGCTGGCCATACGGATGATTATCATTTATTACGAATTAACATTGAACCCCAAAATGAAACGCATAACTATGTCTGTAGCTGTGATACGTCGGAATGTATTCGTTTGTATGTTTGTGTTTCTCTAGGTGATATGTGAAGAAAATATTAGGGTGATTCGAAAAAAATATATACCAAAGAAATAAGTTAACAGAAATATTGGAACGGTGTATTGTTATGGTCCATTTTAATTATAATTAAAAAAAGGAAATTACTAAAGTTCATGCCGACGGTTCTTATGTTGGAGATGCTCTGAGGATTCATATTAAATAAAATGTGGATAAATTCTAGAAACTTACCTAGAATTGATTTAAATCAAATTTGATACATTTCATTCAATACTTTAACAGGCCACATATAACGAACGAAATACGTTCTAAGGTTTCTGTTGTAATTAATAGGTTAAACTCTATAGGTGTTATTTACATATGAGATTGATAGATAGTGCCCACACCTTCTGGATGCAATAACTATTGGTCATTTATCCAAAGAATTTATTTTAAATAACAACTTCGAATAAAATATTTATCAGGGTTAAGATGTATAGATATGACCTAGCAAATATTATTCAAACAAATTAAAAGTATTTTAAATTCATACCACACAACAATAACTGTTATTTATTATTAATTTATTTGCACAAAATACCCTTGTCCGTCCCACCCTAATAACCAACGAGCATACTCGATTTTTTTCCAACTACATTAGCAACGCCAGCTACGTATAGGCACCTCTCCGTACACATGATCTACATTTGTATGCTGCTGCACGACATCGTTTAAATGAACAATTGTTTATCACGAGTAAAGACGCGGAGGTGGGTGGCATGGGGTAAGATGGCTGGAAGGGAACCTTAACGCCAGACCGAGACTGAAACAATTATGCGTTTAACGCGTCATCACAGCTTTTTGTTTGTTTGCTTCGATTCGTTTCGTTCGTTTGAGTTGTCACCAGGTTGGGATTGCCTTGGTTCCGACCAACAAGAATTGAATTCTTGATCATTTATAGGTTATTGAGTTTTATTGAATTTTATTGAGGACCGTCGTCGTGAATTTTTTCGGTGGTGAATTTTTATTTGTGAATACGATCAACCAACCAATTTTTTGTTGTGCTTTTATTTTTGGCAACAATGACAAAGACTCCTCACTGAAGTGCTATAATTTGTCATCAATAGTAGTTTTAACTATAAAAGCTAAGTTTGGTTCATTCATCTACATCAGTAGCAACAGTTGCTTAGAATAGTAACCACAACAAACCAACCAAACCACCACCCACCCAACCAATCAGATTCCAAGGGATTATCAACTATCATCCATAACCATGACTACTTCCAGAGGATTACAACTTTTCATTGTAGCTTTGGCTATTTGCGGCTCATTGGCCAACCCCGTTAAGAGAACAAGCGGCAAAAAATCAGCTCGTCAAATTGAATTCACCACACCCTCATCGGTGGTGGAAACTAAAACGGGTTATCCCGAAGCTGGATTCCGTCCCAAGATTCCATTTGAATTGCCCAATGAAAGCCGCAACGAAGTTGTAACCGAGACAGTGACTGAAAGTGTTACCGACTTCAGTGTGGAAACCATTGCCACCACTACCCAATCGACTTTGGAAGATTTCGATGAAGTTGTACCAGACACCACTGTAACCACCACTCCAGCCCCTGAAGTTTTGGATTACACCCCTGCCGATACCTATGGTCCACCAGCTGAATCCCCAAAGGAGTCCGAAGAAACTGAAGCCGAAGTTGTGCCAGCACCCGCCGAAGACTTTCAACCCCCTAGCGAAGAAGACAGCCAGGATTTCTCCGCCCCTTTCAATACTGTTGATACTACTGACAGTGAGTTTATTGCTGATATTCCTGCCGCTGAACAGACCACAGAAGCCGAAATTGAAAACGAAACTGAAATCGAATCGGAAGCAGAAGAAGTAGATGTCACCGTTAACCAAGTGCCAGCCACCACTTATGGTCCACCTGCCGGCGATGATATGGTCAACGAAGTGGAAAACTCTGAACCCAAAACCGATGTTGAGACAGTCGAACAAGACATCTTGGAAGTTGTTGAACCCGAACAATTCGATTTGGTACCAGAAGTGGCAACTGAAGAAGGCGAAGCAGAACAAGTCGATGTTGTCGAACAAGAACAGGAACAGGAAGGTTCCGCCGAAAGCGAATTGGAATTGGTTGGTGAAACCGAACCCAGAATCCAAGAGCCTGCCGATGTTTATGGTCCACCCAACACCAGTGTTGAAACCGAAACTGAAATTGAATCGGAAGCTGACAATGAACTCGAATCGGAATTGGCTGATGTTGAAGAACAAATCGAAATCCTCAGCCAATTGACCAAATTGCGTAGTGGTCGTCTCGTCATTTTGCCCGTGCAAAAGAAATTGTATTTGGGTCGTTTGGTCTCAGCCCCTAAGGCCTCGAAGAGACAACAACGTTTGAATGGTCGTTTGTTGAAATTGTAAATGTGATATTTTAAGGACTGTTGTTGGTGTCCTGCCGCTGTGCAGACACATTTGATTTGTTGTTTTTTTGTTTTATCGTTAACGAAATAAAATATATGTTAAAAAAATAATATTTCGGTGATTTTTATTTGGGGGTGATATTTAATCACAATTTTAATATTAGACATTTCGATCACTGCACTGGAACGTTTGGATTCAAACATTATAAGTTATTTGAATAAAAAATAAAATAATGTATTTTTTTGGGAAACCGAGAAAGGAAATTTTCACAGGTTCTAGGACGAATCAAAAATTTTAGTTAAATTTTCTCATGTTCTATAAACTGTCGAATCATGTTCTTCTTGTTTTAGCAACAAAATAAAAAATATTCAAAATAACAATTCGACAACAATTGAATAGAACTACGATATGAATGCTTTCTCGCCAGGACTACGTCAAAATTATACGGTTTGTTTGGGGAAAATGTTGCCTATCGATCAGAGGTTAGTCACCCTAGCAGCGGCGAACATTAACTTTTAACTTGTTTTTGTAATAGTTTTGATAACCCCACCCTCTCTCCAAACTCTCCCTTCTGGGTGGTATGTTGGCTGGCTCAACTTAAGCATAATTCAATAAATGT